ATAGCTGCTTTCAACTACCTGAAGGGGGGTTCCAAAGAGGATGGAGCTTGGCTGTTCTCAGTGGTGGCAGATGACAGAACAAGGAGCAATGGTCTCAAGTTGCAGTTGGGGAGGTCTAGGTTGGATATTAGGAAACACTATTTCACTAGGAGGGTGGTGAAGCACTGGGATGCGTTACTTAGGTAGGTGGTGGAATCTCCTTCCTTGGAGGTTTTTAAGGCCCGGCTTGACAAACCCCTGGCTGGGATGATTTAGTTGGGAATTGGTCCTGCTTTGAGCAGGGGGTTGGACTAGATGACCTCCTGAGGTCCCTTCCAACCCTGATATTCTATGATTCTATGATCACATTTTAGACATTATTTCAAGCATAAGTTTTGCAGTGGCAAGTTATTAGTCAGCAACTATCTCTGCAGATAAGTAAATAGTTTTCATTGTGACAAGAGGTTTTGCAGTTCTCCAGATGGTGGATTTTCTTTTTGCTAACTCGAATCTCTAAAATGAGTAGACTGACACATTTAAGTATCTAAAAAAAATCTACATTTTAACATTTGTTTTAGGATTGGATGTTGACGGGTTATACCGAGTCAGTGGCAATCTTGCAGTGATACAGAAGCTAAGATTTGCAGTTAATCATGGTAAGTTCCATTCTCCAACTGTATTATCAATTTGAAAATATATGCAAGAGTATTTGTCAAAATTGCTAGAAAGTTCTTCAGATTGTGCATTGATTGTTGGTCCATCTGTTTTAATATAATATGACAACATTTCATGAGAAATATCTAGCACTTTTCAAAATGAAAATGCTACTAAATAGCAGCTTATGTGCTCTTCAAGGTGGGTACTGTCTACTTCTGTTCATACAGTGCCTAGCACACCAGAGCCTTGGTCCTAATTGAAGCCCTCTAGTCACTCCTGTAATAATTCTGAAGCAACGTGTGGCATGTCAGTTTAAAAGGAATGAAGCTCAAATAGAATATTTCTATATCTTATGGAAAGCAAGAGAAAAAGTATTAAAAAACCCAACAACCTTGTACTAGCATTTAACATTCATCTATTCTTCTGACCTTGAGTGAGAATCTCTATTGTGCCCTTAGGTGGTCCAGCAAAGGACTCTCAGCCTAGAGCAAAGGTGGGCAAACTACCGCCCTGGGGCCGCATCCGGCCCTTCAGACATTTTAATCCTGCTCTCGAGCTCTAGCCAGGGAGCGGGGTCTGGGGCTTGCCCTGCTCCGTGCATGCCGGGGCTCCATGAGGCTCCCGGAAGCAGCGGCACATCCCTCCCCTCCGCCTCCTATGCATAGAGGCAGCCAGGGGGCTCCGCACACTGCCCTGGAACCAGAGAATTTTTGCCTAGCAGAATCTGTAGAAGGGCAGTACTTGCACCTTGTTGCCATAGCCCCTCCCCTGGCTGAATGAGGTGGGGCCACTCCGACCCCCCTCAGTTCCTTCTCACAGCCTGTGGCTGGAGTTGGAGCTCTGTATTGGTTTTCACCTCATAATCCCTCTATTTTTAGTGATTTTTTTTCTAATGTATATAGTTAATTAGATTTAGTGTTAGTTAGCTGTAGTTTAACTATTTCCCTAGTGATGGCATCACAAGGGTTTAAACATTCTGTCATGTGGGGCAGCGATCCCCAACAACAATCCCCACGTGCGGTGCTTGCTGTGCCTAGGCAAAGCCCATGTTAAGGAGCAGTGTTTGATTTGCAGATCACTCACCAAACAGACTCTCAAGTGGTGAGGGATCTTCATCTGAAGCAGCATCTGTTTGAGTAGGCCATGCGGTCTGCTTCGGCACCAAGGCCCTTGTCAAATCAGAGGTTGCCCTCGAGTTCTGAGAATACCTGCTGCACCTTCGGTTGTCGGGTCTTGCACTTAGTTCATTGAAAGTGCATCGGCAGCAATATTGGCATTTCATCCCACCCATTCAGGGAAGATCCGTCTTCTCCATTGCCATGGTGGCAAGATGCTTAAAAGCGCTTTTACATCTCCATCCTCTGGTCTGAGAGCCATTTCCTCTGTGGTCTCTTAACTTGGTCCTAGCAACTTTAATGGGACCTCCATTTGAGACCCTGGCATCTTGGGGTGTGGTCGTAAAGTTTCTTCTCAGTTTCATTTGAACCAGGTGGTATATTTACCTGTGTTTTTTCCTAAGCCGCATTCATCTCCATACATTAAATGTCAGATGATGTCTAGTCTTCTATCTGGACAGGACTGAAGTGTTTTGTGCTTCTTCTCACCTATTTGTGTCATATGTAGATCGTATGACGTGAAGTAGTCTTTTCACAAATGATCTCTAAATGGATAACATCTTGTATCAATACTGCATATAAAATAGCTTCAGCTATGCCTCCTCAGTGTGTGCAAGGTCATTCTACACGATCTGGTACTGCATCTTCCAGAGGATGCAAGTTTTGGTCAGGCAATCCTACAAATCTTGTTTAGGTAGACTCCAAGCCCCGCCTTCCGGGGGATACTGCTTGTGAGTCATGTAAGTGGAATACATGGCTGCATCTACTAGAAGATGTAAGCTAGAAGAAGAAACCGTTACTTACTGTAACCGTTGTTCAAGATGTGATGCAGCCATTTATTCCACGACCCACCCTCCATGCCCTCTGCATTGGAGTCTCTGCACTGCACTCTAGGTGCTCAGTGCAAAGGAACTGATGGGAGTTGGGACGCTGCTACCTCATATAGCCAGGGGAAGGGCTACAGCAAGAAGGCATGAGCGCCGTCCCTCTACGGGTACTGCTAGGCAAAATTATCTGGCTCTTGAATGCTGGGTGTGCATTGTAACCTGTGGGTGCCCTTCTCCAGTGCCCGGAGATGCAGAAATCAGTCATGGAGGATTTTCAGCAAGGATTGCAAAGAGTCAACCTCCCCACAATCAAGTCCAAAGGAACTAAATGAATTAATTTAATTCTTAAGTACCAACTTTTAAAAATCTTATGATAAAGAAACATAATAAATAATAACTACATTTTTACAACATAACATGGCTACCTTATAAGTCACATACATTATCTTCACAGTTATACAGAAACATAAAGACGACAAATTAAATCTAAACAGGTCAGTCCCCCAGAAAAACAGTGAGATGAAACTCGGAGTTCCCAAAAGCTTAGGTTGAGTTTACCTGAGTCTCAGTTAGTCTTTGATCACCAAATTTATACCATCTGCTGAGTTAGAAGCAACATCTTTCCTCCACTTGCTTGTAGGAATCTTCAGTTGGAATCCGTACAGACTTTCTCTGCTGAAATCAGTGTTAGCCAGTCAGCTAACTGAGTAACCAACTGCTCAAACAAGTATATGGGTTTTTAAACAAACCAACCCTGTTACAAGAAAAATACAAAACAGAATAGCAAAATAAATTACTTTCTCCATTATCACATTTAAAGAAAAGTTGGTGAATCATACTAGTTGAGACAATTTAACTAAAATGATTTGGCTAAAATCAAACGTCGTTCAAAGTATACGATTAAAATAAAAAATTATTTTTCCCTCCCAATTTTCCCTTTCTGTAATTAACATTGCTAGGACTTCCCTGTTGGAGGGTTAACAATATCACTAACCTGCTGCAAAATGCTTCAGAGTTAGGGACAACAGCGTGCTTTTCTGTTCCTGGGCTCAGCTTCTCCCAGCCCACACAGAGCAACATGGCCTTTTGTAAAGCAGCTGCCCTCACTGCTTGCCCTCATGGAGTCAGACTCTAGCAATAGTTTTGGGTATGCTCAATAGGTTCCCTATGACACCCAATTCCAGAAACTTCTGGATGTAGAGTGCTAAGTGTGCATCTGCCTAGCAACAATGACCGACACAACTCATACCTTCTCACCCCCCAATAGATCTCTTAAAGAGATATCTCCCCACATCTTGAAGAACTATAGTTACAGTAAGTAACTGTTTCCTCTGGTCCCTTCACACTGGGTAATAAGAATCCCATTCATTGTTCAACTTGTATAGGAAATAAGTAATTAATGATGAACACCTACTAGATTATAGTAATCATTCATATGCTTTCTTTCAGATGAGAAATTGGACTTGAATGACAGTAAATGGGAAGATATACATGTCATCACAGGAGCTCTAAAAATGTTTTTCAGAGAACTGCCAGAACCACTCTTCACATATAATCATTTCAATGACTTTGTCAATGCAATTAGTAAGTCCATAAAGCATGCACAGAATTTTCATAAATCATAAATATTTAAGTATGCATGATGCACTTAATTGTAATATGTTCTCCTTTTCACTTTTTAAAAAGGAGAAATTATGAAATTTTGTAAAGGTGTTACCTTATATGCAGTTGTGGTGTAGCTGTGTCAGTCCCAGGATATTAGAGACAAGGTGGGTGAATGGTCCTTGAAATATGCTAAACAATCTGTTCCACGTTGTATTTAGTTATGAACTGAGTACGTTTCCCAGACATGAAGAAGAGCTCTGTGTAAGCTCGAAAACTTGTCTCTCTTATCAACAGAAGTTAGTCCAATAAAATAGTGGCTCTCAACCAGGGGTTCTGTGAACCCTGGAGGTATGCAGAGGTTTTCCAGGGGGTATATCAACTCATCTAGATATTTGCCTAGTTGTATAACAGATTACATAAAAAACACTAGCAAAGTCAGTACAAACTAAAATTTCATCCAGATAATGACTTGTTTATTCTACTCTATATACTATACATTGAAATGTAAGTACAATATTTATATTCCAGTTGATTTATTTTATAAAAATGAGAAAGTAAGCAATTTTTCAGTAATAGTTTGCTGTGACACTTTTGTATTTTTATAGCTGATTTTGTAAGCAAGTAGTTTTTACGTGAGATGAAACTTGGGGTACACAAAACAATCAGACTCCTGAAAGAGGTACAGTAATCTGGAAAGGTTGAGAGCCTTTGCAATAAGAGATATTATCTCACCCATCTTGTCTCTAAGGTGTTACCTTCAGATTATCAGTAATATTCAATGTGGCCACCAGGTGGCAATGTATTACTTGGTATCAGCACTAAAATTGTGGGCTTCATTCAGTTTTTGGTAAATTATATGCTACCAAAATTTTAAATAAAAATATTGAATTTATGGTGTATCTGCCTTTTATCTTTTCCAGAACAAGAACCAAGACAGCGTGTTCATGCTGTCAAAGATTTAATTAAACAGTTGCCAAAGCCAAATCAGGATACCATGCAGATACTTTTTAGACACCTCAAGAGGTGAGTAGTAGAAGGAAGAGAAAGTCTTAATGTACTGGAGAGCTTCCTTAAAGCTAGGGTGACCAGATAGCAAGTGTGAAAAATTGGGATGGGGGTGGGGAGGCACCTATATAAAACATATCGGGACTCTCCCTATGAAATCGGGACATCTAGTCACCCTTTTTAAAGCTGAGTGATCAAACATTAAAAGTCCTGGGGGAAGGTTCTAATCATGTTTCCTTTGATGTTCGTTGTGCTTCATCAAAGCAAAACACTTGTCTGTGTTTATACAAGCTTATGGAGAAGCAAATCCAACTTTTGGACAGTGTTTTTATTAGTTGTGCTTTTAGCCGGGAAAGCTGTAGATTATAGGGACAGAGCTAGTGTCAAATATATTTTAAACAATGAAAGTGATTACAATAGTGGCATGTTTCATGAATGACAGTAAATATGGAATAAATATTATGAGAAATTACTGATTTGGTTTTGTTTCTCTTCTCTGTTAACACATTATTCTCTCTCCCATGGATGAATATATTTTAAACGCATATTTTCTTCTTTTTTCCCCAGAGTTGTAGAAAATGGAGAAAAGAACCGAATGACTTATCAAAGTGTAGCAATAGTTTTTGGACCAACTCTGTTAAAGCCAGAGAAAGAGACTGGTAACATAGCAGTCCACACTGTTTACCAGAATCAGATTGTAGAATTAATTCTGCTGGAACTGAACTCCATCTTTGGATGTTGAAGTTTTCTCAAAGTTAAAACTGAAGATATGAGTTGGCAACAGCTTTCCATCAGAAGTTAAATCTCTCTTTGTACATGATGTATTGTGTTTGTGGACCAAGCGACAGCTCAATTTTGCACTTTTCAGTAGGATGGGAGGGAAGAAACGGGAGGAGTGTTTGACCGATTATAATTCACTTATTACATTGTGAATATTTCAGTTTGTACTCTGTTTTAATAATACAAATTGCAATTCTAGTATGGGCATATACACTGGATTTCTTGGTGAGGAGCTAAAATTAATCTCAGACTGGATAATCTGGAATGGATTTTTTTTAAAGGTTCACCACTTGGTAGGGTGAGGAAAACCCTATCAACTGGCTTCAAACATGTTTTTTCATACTTTTAGTGACAATAAAATTTCATCCTATGCTTATGTACTGAAACCTGTGTGGATCCTGTCAGCAGGGATTCTGTGTAGTGTGACTGTCTTTAAACTAGTGCTAACAGTGGCCAGTGTGGTTTACAGTAATTCAAATAATCCCTCATTTGAGGCTTTTTTTTTTTTTTTTAAACTGTATTATATAGCATCCTTGCTGGATCTTCTGGTTGCTTGATAGAGCAGGATCCTATTATTTCAAACACTGAACTTGTAAGAATATCCAGCAGAGGATTTGTTCTGTGACATACTAGAGTTTTATTTAATACACACATCCATTTTTCAGGGTATTTCTTGGGCTACATTTTGTGCTATACTGAATTGCAGTTAACAATTCTAATTAAATACCATCATTATCTAATGCTGTACTGAGTTCTTGGTATGATCCTGTGGTAGTGAACATTTTTGGATGTAAATACAAGCTAAAGACTGAATGACCTTTGGCTTATGTACATAATTCAGTTGTTGTATAGTCTCAAAGTACCTTCTAGTTGCACATTTCTAATCATGGGTAGATTAGCTACAGGTAGTGTAACACTTCCAGTGGAGGTCTAGGTTTCCTCAGATAAACAGGTTACTCGAAAAACTAAACATGTGCACTTTTAGATGTTAATTACATTTGCAGGCAAATAATTGTAATGCAAATGGTACTGGAAAAATACTGTGTGCTTGCTAAATTGTTAATGCACTACAAGAGGAGCCTTTTAGGTTATTTAATATGTACAGGATACATTAGAGAAATGTATTACAGATTCTAACATTTGCAAATAATGGAAACGTTCCAATAGATGTTTGTTGGAAATAATGACATAATACTAAATTTGAGAATTTCTTTTTACATTAATAATGTAGATTAATTTGTAAAATAAATTTGGTTTTGGAAGATTTTTGTTATAGGGAGCATGGTCTACTGAAGATTTTTAAATGTATTTTTTTAGACTAACTGCTGTACCTGATATTTGTTATGTCTAATCTGAATAAAGAAAACTATTAGCTAGTTTGGAGTTTGCCAGTCCAAATTTGGATGACGTAGTCCCCTGTTGAATTTGCAAACACTCCCAAATATTCAGTTGTGTCTGACTGCCTGAAATGATATTTCCTGCAGCAGAGATTGTGCTGTGGTTAAAAATGGAGTGTCTAACTGAAACTTTTAAGAATCCCCCTTTTCCCTGAACAGCAGTTGGATTGTATGATGAAGATGGGTAATTTATAGGTTTAAATTTGCAAATATTTATAAGTATTCCACACAAGTATTTTTGTCCTAATGTTTGATATGTTCCACACACAAACCACCTGCCCACAAAAGGAAGACAGACAAGTGGTGAAATTATCCCATTTGACCTTTGATCTCTTTTATATGTTCAAGGTGAGAATTCCAACAGCAGAAAGCTTGCTTGAAAAAGTCTTTGTAGATAAAAGAAGGGACGACTAATCTTGTGGTTTTCTCACTTTATTTTTATTGTGGTAGTGGTGAAGTCTTGCGGTTTGTTGCAAAACAACTTGGGTGAGAATCGTGATATCTATAAATCAATGTTGCATTTTCAACCTCCTGTTGAGATTTAAAAGTATAATTTCTTTTTTGATACTTGTTCTGAGACACATCATTCTAGTAGGAAATATAAATGAAGTTGAAATTTGTTATAGTTTATTCAAATCCCAATTAAAAAAAAATCAATTTCCTCTGAATAGCATTGTTTAATTACAGATCATGTTGTCTAAGTGTTGCTGTAATCAAAGTAAGAAAATACCTGTTTTGAATATCCTCTTTTTAACAGTGAGGAATGTAACTTTCCATTATATTCCCAGAGAATTAAGTATTTGTTACTACATAATACTATATATAATACAGTATAACTTTTGTGCAGCAAGTGAGATGAAAGCTTTAAGTTGCTAATTTTTAGTTTGGGGAGATGGAAATACTTCCCAAAAAATCCAGATAATGTGGCAAGAGTTAAACACATACTGCAATCAACAGAAAAATAACTGATCTACTTGAGGGTAAAGGACAAGCACACCAGCTAGAAGTTTTGTACATTAGAACCATGGCAGTTTGTTTACATATTTAATATCTCTTGCTTCCTTTTCAAATCCTAGTGATAGAAATAAGCTTGTAGCAAATGGTGTCTTCCATGTCTAGCATTAATCACTTGCCTTGCTGCTTCCTGAAATTGGCATACCTTTAAGTTTAAGGGCTTTATTTTTACATTGACTATTTCAAAGTCAGTATGGAACAGAACACAAACTGAGGAAAGCTGAGCAGCAGAAAAGGTAACGGTAACTATTTACATTTTATAAAAGTTTTATCTAATGTCTAGAGCCCAAAATAGGAATAAAAATGCATAAAGAAAAGTGAATAGTCATAAAAGTGAGAGTATAAACTTGATTTTTTTTTTATTAAAACTGGAGACATTAGTATACCAGACTTACAGCCTGTATCCCCACTGTGGCTATGTATTGGTGTCAACTTGTTTTACAAACTCAAGTTTTGTCCCATGGGCAATAGCTGCATGCCTCATGGAGGTGCTGTATATAGTATTACTAAAGAGTGACATTTGGAATAGTTCAAGCTTGGTAGTGAGGAAATTTTGCTGTAGTTACTATGGATCAATGAAGAGAGCTGGGCACAGATAAAGACTACTTTAATAAATGTATCCAACCTTGTAAATAAAATAGTTTTCAAATTGACTTGACATGTCCTTCTGTTGATTTAAAAAAAAAAATCTCTTGAATTTAATCAAGTCTTACAAACTGGCAAGACTGTCCTGAACTTTAGCCACCATCAACTGAAAGCCATGATTAATTCCCCCTTTATTGCATCCTCTGCATTATGACATGCAAATCCTAACAGCCTTTGGTAGTGAAGATGAGTTAGAAAGTATTGTGCTGTCTAATTAAAAGTTCAGTCTAACACAGTTAAATAGCTATACTTTAGGTAGTTAATTGCAGAATGCTACTTTTTGTTTCCTTTAAAGGAAACAACTTTATTCGGACACAGAAAAGAGCAGTGATATTTTGGAATCAATTGGTAATTCATAAGCCATAAACTTAGACCAGGCACAGTCAGACATTCTGCTCTGAAGAAGGGAGGTACAGAATATCTAATAAGGCATTCTGCAAAGAGAAGGAACTTCCTCTGAAGAATCTTAATTAGTCTCCACAATTGCAAAGTTTTGTGGGCAAGCAGCTGCTGAGGCTGTATTCTGCTGGCTTACAAAGTAGCCCTATGTGATTACGGAACTTAAATGAACATTTTCCTTCATGGCATTCTCGTAAACAGAGCACTTGTAAAACAAGATAACACTGTGACAAAGCAACATAAAAGGCATTTGGAGGGGACCTGGCCTCTTTTGGTCCCTTTTTCCCTTGAGAATCAAATGGTAGTTCTGATATTGAAGATCTTGCAATTTCCCTAAATTGGCCAGCTTCACTGTTCAGAGAAAAATATATAAAGACACTTAGAATGATTTTTGTGAAAGAAAATGAGTGCCTAATCTACCTGCAGCAGCCTTGTAAATACGTGTAAATCAGCAATTCTTAAATGGAGGCTTAGTTTATGGATGGGATGAGATCCCTTTTGGGAAAGGTCTTGGTAATGAACAGGTGCTACTTTTAGGATTGTGTCCTACTGCATATTCCATAGAAATGTAGCTTATTAGGAAAACAAAAATAGAGATCACTGCTTTGGGGTAAGTAATATTAGCTACAGGATTCTGAAGATGACAAAAGGGAGATAATGAGACGGAGAGGCCGAGACCCGGGGAGACTGGAGAGATCAGACAAATAGTCCAAAGCAATTGAAGTACTGGAGATGGAAGAGCCCAAAACAGACAACTAGAAAGAAACTGAAGAGCTGTAGACTGGCCAGGAAGCAGAGATCTGAGCGAGCCAGATTGCATGGAATTCTGCTCTTTTCTGTCAGCCAGCATATTCTGTGTAAAATCTACACAGCTCATGAAGACACTTCTCTATAAACTGACTGGGGGAGGGTCTCCTCTGAAGCTGTGGGGGAAATTCTGCTGCCCCTTCTCCTAGGATGGAAGGATTCAGTTCTAAGCAGGCTATCTTCTCTTTCCAGTCCTTGGTTTTGCTTTTTTCAGTATTTATATGCATGTTTTGCTTACTGCTTACTATTAAGAAGCCTAATTCTGAGCCCAGTTTCTGTGACTACAGTGCACATGAAGCTGTGCAAACTGGCTGACCCTGGGAAAGGTCTGATAGTGCAATAAGGCTGGTGGGAAAAGGAACTTAGGCTAACTGGGAAGAGCAGCTCTATGAAATAAGCTCATGCCACACATCCCCATCATTCCTCTTCCCACCATGTGTTTCTAGAGCTTCAGTAATGTCTCCCAGCCTCAGCAGGTGCAGTAGTTTCTGCAGCTGAAGAACTTTAGCAGATATTATTATTTATCTGCCTCCAAATGTGAGGCCCACTATCTATCCTTAGCAAGAAGCAATCTTGTCTATGGCTGTTGTAGCTCAGCTCCCTGAAATCAACAGCCTGTGGCCTCTTCCCTCCCTCCCCCCCTCCCACACACACTACCTTCCAGGGCTCCGCAGACCTCACTTTCTCTGTACAGGCTAGTGCTAGGCACACACCAATCCCCGAGTCCCCACTGTTCCCTGCAGCATCCAGCACCTGTCACTGGATACTCAGAAATTACCAAAGGAAGTGCGCAGACCGTCCTTGATCCTCACAACCGATACCCCCACACCCCCCATGTGGTTGGGGAGCACAGCTACAGACCCACACCGTACAGGGCAGGTGGCTTCCTTCAGAATCGGTGTTGCATATCAACTGGTGAGAATTACATGCAGTCTGCAACGCGTGCCAGCACTTTAAAGGACTGTAAGAGTAATGACAGACAATGTCGCCTGCATGTTATAGTAACAGACAAGTGGGAGCAAGGTCCCAAAACTTGTGCTCAGAAGCACTAAAATTGTGGAATTGGTGTATCTAATATGACATCAACAGCTTGACCTCTTACCTATCTGGACACCAGAACACTATGGCGGACTCACTGAGCAGGAGATTCGCACTTGGGGTCTTGTGAGAGTTAGACATGAGCCCTGCAGCACATATTCAACCGCTAGGGATTCCTGACCACAGACTTCTTTGCCACACCCAAAAACTCCAAATGTCCACAGTTCTGCTCAAGAGCAGCTCTGGATCATCTGTCTTTGAGGGACGCCTTCCTCATTAGATGGGATGTACCCGTTACACGCCTTTGTTGTTCAAAGTGCTTCACAAAATCAGGTGGAACAAGCCACAGTCATTCTCATAGCCTCAACATGGCCATGACAGACTTGGTACCCATACCTCATGCACATGGCAGTCTGTCCACCAATCACCCTACAGTTGACTCTATACCTCCTCTCGCAGGACGCAGGCCAAATCTTCCATCCCAATCTAGAACTCTGAAGGGGTCACTCACAATAAAGGATTTTCACTTGAAGTTTAGACACCCACAGTATGCATGCAAGTCTCCACTACTGTGATGAGATTATACCCCTACCTGAATCTAATGTGGGGGTCCATCTCAATACACCCCCTTCCCATTTTGCTATACCATTTCTATGTAAACCATCTACTGTAATCTTGATTCCTTTTATAAAGTTTTGTCCAGCTCACTAACACATATAGTAGCACCCACAGGCTGCAATCCAGGTCACATTGTGCTATGTGCTGTACACATAAAACATGGTTCCTGCCATGAAGAGCTAGGACAGTAGCACCCACAGGCTCCAACCAAGATCAGGACCCTACCATGCTGGGCACAGCACATACACCGGGACACAGTACAGGGCCTGAAGATCTTATCTAAATAAGACAGAACGGAAGTTGTTTAGTACATAACTCCAGTTTGAAAAGTGTAAGTGGGAGTTCTCATCTATATAAAACAGCACTACTGGTCGGTGTGATACACTGTACCTTGGGAGAGTGCCCTGTAACCCCCATATTCCTCATTTATATATAATTGTGATATTGCATATAAAGCATGCCATGTGAGGTATCAGGAAAGGTTATGAGCTGCTGAAAGTCTTTGTTCTATCTAAATATGTAAATCATTAATGCATATGAAATTATGAGACTGTTATACGGCTGTCACTAAAACATGCTGTAAATAGGGGAATTGGCAGCTCCCCAGAGACAACAGCAAGGAAAAGTAACCAACACCTGGGCCGGTGTCGAACAACCATCAACAGCCATTGTCCAGCAAGGGAGCTATAATGCAATGACACTTGCACAGGGCCACACCAAGGGAATTGCTCAACCTTGCCTGGTGCCTCAGCAATGCCCACCAGACATGCCTGGACTTGTGCTCTCCAAGCACATAAACTAAGGATATAAAACAGAACACAGTGGCCCCATGCTTTGCCTTTTCTCCTCTCCTCTCCACCTGTGCTGCAAGCAACAAGGACACTGAGAAGACTGAAGACTCCATTTTGGAGACTGGCCCAGGTTTCAAGGATGAAACCTGTGTATTATGAACTGCAATATCCAGTGGGGGTGAGAAAAACCTCCTTAATCTAGATGTTACCCAGTCTAATAGGGTTGAGAGTTTAGACTGCGTGCTTATATTTTATTTTATTTTGGTAACTCTGACTTTTTGCCTATAACTTATAATCACTTAAAATCTACCTTTTGTAGTCAAACTTGTTTCACGGTTTATCTTTACCAGTGAATATGCCTAGGGTTGCCAACTTTCTACTTGCACAAAACTGAATATCCTTGCCCCATTCCCTTCTCTGAGGACCTGCCCCTTCTCACTCCATCCCCCCCTCCCTCTGTGGCTGAATCCCACATTAGTGACCGCTGTAAGATCTGCGGGTCCTTTAAACCTAGAACTAAAAAAGAAAAAGCCATTAGACTTTGGGCCGTTCTCATGGAGTCAGCACTGGCCCCAAATCTGGTGCGCTGAGCAGATTTGGCACCGGGCACCTAGTCTTCGGTGTGCAGTGATCCCCCGGCCCCTTCCGCTGGCTGGCACCGCTCCCCGTCTAAGAAACAGAGAAAGGGCCCATCTTCTCAGCGGCGTCGAGAGAAAGCAGGGGGAGGGGCTAGACCTGCGTTGGGCAGCCCCAGTTCCCCCCCTGGGCCCCAGAGCTCTGACTCATGTTGAGCGGAGCAGCCCGGTTGCGTCGACTCAGGCCTCTCTGGATGTCCAGGTGCCTTTGACACCGAAGGCCCTGCAGGCGTCCTGAGACATTATGACTCTGCAGGTACCTGGGGCACCACCGGCACCCGGGCCCTGCTCTAGAGGCAATCCGCTGCTGGGCTCTAGACAGTCGACCCCGACCCGACGCAGATCCCGGTCAGGGGACCGCGCTCGGGCCCGCTTGCCGCTCAGCGTCCTGTCAGGACACAGTCTCCGGCCTCTGTTTTAATCACCCACTAGGTTGTCTGGTTGGGTGCCCTCGGATCGGAGTTCCAGACACCACTCCACGCCAAGCAGAGTGTATCGACGGGACAGGCACAGGTGCTGTAGATGCTCCCCTTCTCATTGGAGCTACCGTAGCTGCTCCCGACGTGGGCGCCGTTGCCGTTCGCGCTCCAGCTCTCTCTCCTTGAGGCACCGTGCCCACGACTGCCGGCGGGGATCTAGGCGTCGCAGCGTCTCGAAGTAGTAGCTCGAGGTGGCACCGTTCC